CTTCCTGAGTCTCGTGCCTACGTACCCACAAAGTGCAATGGAGGATCAAAACCTCCTAGTTTGTGGTAAAAATAACAAAATAGATTTGTTATAATTGATTTTAAATGGACGATACAAGCTGTCATTTTAAGGAGAAAACTCAACTAGTCACCCATGAGTGTATGAAAATGGACATTTGCATCACTATTGAGAAGGGATCCAACTTGCATTGAAATCAACAAGTATGTCACTAGCTCTTCCAAGGGGAAAAGAATCAACATCAAACATAACTATGGAGATAGAAGAATTACATCTCAACTATGAAAATGACTCATGTCTAAACATTAAGAAAAGTTTAAAATGAAAAATGCACAAAGGGCACAAAATGTTTGAGTGAGTTAAGTATTTTTTATGTCTTATGAAAATGGTCTTGGTATGCTTAAGATTGATTAGCCTTTATTTAAGAAAAAGAGTTTGAAAATCACTTGACAAAGTCAAGGTTTATTGAGAAAATGGTTCAAGTTTAAAAACAAGAAAGTTTTGAAAAAGAGAGAAGATTTTGAAAATTGAAGAAGGGGAGGAAATGAAGAAACTACCCTAAAGCATAAAGTAAAAGCCAAGGAAGGAAATATCTAACCAAGAGCAAGCCTCTGACACAAGTCAAGCCAAAACTCCCATCCTTTGGATTAAGCAACAAGCAACCAAATAAGTAGAGAAATAACCAAGCATCAGATAAAGGAGAACTTAAGCCAAGGCCAAAGATAAGGTAATAGAGCCAAGTCTTTCAAAGATCAAACTAAGGTTCTAGATGAATTCCAAGGTCTCACGTCACAACTCCAAAGCATGGGATTAAGAACCTAATTCTAAGTCCAATAAGTCACTCATCCAAGTAAGGGATAGTAGTCAATAGTCCAATGGAAACAATAAGTCTTTTAGTGTTTAGCCTTTATTAATGTCTTAAGAAAAAGAAAAAGAAAGTCCAAGTGGACAATAGGAAAAGGCATAAGCATAAACAATAACAATATGATATGTAAATAACAATAATAGGCCTAAAAAATAAAGGTGCTTAAAAGTAAATGACTTAAAAATAAAGGTGCTTAAAAGTAAATGACATAAAAATAAATGTTAGCACAATTATATTGTTCATGTTAGTGTTAGAATTTATAATCTGATTCGAGACAAATTTAGTGCTATGTTACGCAATCATAACATAATCTACAAGGAAGATCATACTATGGGAGACCAGTCAATAACAATTTATGTACCATACATGTTAGAGATATGATAGAGATCATACTCCTAAAACATGTAACACAAGTCAAAACAAGGGGGGATCAAGCACTAAAGCAAGGAGATTGGTCCATTACATCAATAAATCTTTCATGATACTTAAGATAAACTTATACATCAATCCAAAGTATCTCAATAGATCAATGATCAATCAAATGATAGATTTGAAATGATGAAAGTTCATCAAGAACCAATCCAAATCTCATGAACAAGATTGAATACACATCATCCAATTGATCAAGAGAAAAGGTGAAAAATAAAAAGAAAGGGATGAAGATAGAAGGAGAGCGAGATGGAAAACAAAATCAAGTTGGATTAAGGCATTAATCAAGTTATCATCAAAATCAATCATCCATTTGGGTAGATTAGGATTTTCACCCCATCAACACCCAAGATCCATTGAGTTTGATGAAACTTATGATAAAATCAATCAAGATCCAAGGCCAAAAAAAGTCAACATAGTGCTTGATCCATTGACGTTAAAATGATATGACAAGTGGAATCTTATGGGTAAAAATTAGGGTATGACAGAGCCCAAAAATTTCCCAAAACATGTACTTTGGTCTGAGGCTCATCTCAAAGATCCAACATTAAGCTTTCATCCGAGCCTCCAACACCTACTACCACCTTGGTGAAACAATTAATAATACCCGTAAAGGGTTTCTTTTTTACCCTGCGTGATTCCTCTTAGCACAACCATGGTGATCGATTGCCTCTTCTTGGCAGTTAAATGGGCGATGAAAGACTCGCACAAGTCAAACCAAGAGTTTATTCTTCAGCCTTAGAGGGACTTATATCATGTTGTTACTTATTCGATTAAGATTAGTGCAAAGATCTTGCACTTCACATTTTTGTTGGCATGATAATAGTCTAGCCAGTCATCTACATGATCGACGTGTTCATATAGATTTCTAGTCTCGTTATAACTATGGAGTTTCTAAGGCTTCTCCAATGAATTTGGGATTTTGTTATCCAAGATGTGATAGGACAGGGAGTTCTTCTTCTACGTTTGGACGGAAGCATCTTCTTCATACGATACATGTGTCGTCGATGGCTTAGAGACTTTTGAACCACTTCTGAATCCCTTCTCGACTTAGGAACGACAGTTTTTATGAAGTCGTCGCTTGTATAGTTTTGTACCTCCGATTGGCATTGTGTAAAATATCTTCAATATGAGTCTGTCTATCTACCAAATCCAATGAGTTCCACTGTTGAACCATTTGGTAGACATTTTCAACAATTTGTTGGCTCCCTGCAAGCCAAGATTAGCCTGCAATATTGAAAGTTAGAAAGTATTTCTCATCCAGACATCGTTAGCGGTAGCAAAGGTATGATTGAAGGTTCGCCTAGATGAAACTGTAGTGTCGATATGAGGAATTGAAGAGGTTGAAATTCTCTTTGATATGCTCTGAGTTTGGAAATTTTTTACAACATAGGAACAAATTGAGTAGTTGTTAAGACATGATTGGTCGTTCCTTGAGGAGAAGATATAGGATTTCTAGCAACTTCAGCCGTTGCAATGGCTTGCCATTGGACAGTGGAGTGAGTAACTTTGGATGCCTCAATTGTTGATGAATCTGATGGAAAAGAGTTTGAATCTAAATCTAATGGAATGGATTAGGAAATGGAGAAGTTTGCTTTGATCGAAGAAGATCTGAATTTCTATCGGAAGACGTTAAATCATGGAGAATCATAGGAATCAGAAGTTGATTCTCACAAGCTACATCAATATTCCACACTAGAACTAGATTTGATTGAAGATGAATCTGTTGTGGTAGCTCAGAGCTTTTCATGCGGTGGAAGGGGGTGACCTGCAAGTAGGGCTGGAAATGAGTCGAGTCGAGTCGAACTCACCTCAGCTCGGCTCGACTCGTTAAGAATTGTTCGAATTCGAGTTCGAGTTCGAGTTCGACACGAACTTTTTTTTAAGCTCAAACTCGACTCGTTATAAGTTCACGAACAGTTCGGCTCGACTCGTTAGGTTCATCTCATTAGGTTCAGCTCACATGGTTCACGAACTTAAAAACTATTTTTTTAAATATATATATTTTTTAGTATATTTGACATTTTAAATAAATATATATTTTTAAAATAAAATATTAAAATAAAATAAAAGTTATCATATTGAAATTTAACTTTATCTTCGAAATCTACTACTTCAAAACCTACACAACTTTCAAGAGATACATTTGAGAGTCTAATTCAAAAACTAATAAATTGAAGATTAAATTTGTCTAAGATTTGAAGTAAATATTTAAACCTAATCTTAAAGACAGTATAATTCTTTTCATATGTAATCGAGTTGACTCATGAACCTAACGAGTCGAACTATGTATAGTTCAAGTTCAGCTCATTTAGTTAACGAACTTAATTTTTCGCTCATACTCAACTCATTTGGTTCATGAACCTAGTTCAACGATTTAATTATCGAGTCGAATTCCGAACTATCTTCGAGTTGGTTTGGTTCATTGCCAGCCCTACCTGCAAGGTTAGCACTTCAATGCTCAAGTCAGTAAGAGAATGAAAAATGATGTTTGAATGAGAAAGGATTTGAATACTTGAGAAATATCGCAATCTCCTCTTTAATTAGAAGAATTAGTTAGCAATAGAATGTGTGTGATAACATGTGAGATGCAGTCACTCGTCGGTTCAAACTAGATGACTAAAATAAGGCTCGTGGGAGAGATTATCTCCTTGGTGGAAAAAAGGAATCCACCTATTATGCATCACACGTCGCCCTTCACCATTATTTAATTTATGCACCTTTAAATCTTATGACTGAACCAAAAATAAATGATTATATATATATATATATATATATATATATATATATATATATATATATATATATATATATATATATATATATATATATATATATATATATATATATATTAACTTTCAATCCAACTATTGACTTTAAAAAATATTTATCCAATGGAATGTTATTAAATGAGTTGGGTAACTTTTTTGATTTTAGATTTTCTATTTTTTATTCTTACCAATATATCTTTATTGTTTTTATCCTTATCATTTTGTATTACTCTTTACAAATTTAGTTTATATTAAAATTAATTATTAAAATATGAAAAATATTTTATTTTAATCTCTTCAATATTAATATTAATGAGATAAGGACTAAAATCAAATATTCTGAGCATTACTAATATCAATTCCAATATAAATCAATTAAAAATTAAAACAAAACAACAAGGACCAAAAACAAAATTGTTTTTCTTATTTTGCAATGATAAACCAAACAAAAAAATTACAGAGAATCAAACTTTAACTTTTAAAAAAACTGTACGGTCTATTATGCAAAATTAAGCAAACTTTAATCTCTATGCAAGAGCCTTGTTTTGTTGCCACTAGATTTTTTATGAACAAGAAGAATAACAACAGCACAGTGGCCCCTCTAGACTCTAGTTACAAGCTAAGTACCCATAAAAGTGAAAACAGTATCTCCATCTAATGAGAAAAAGCATAGTCAAGAAACCCCACCATTTCTTAAAGTGGATTATTCTCTTCTAATAATCACAATAATGTCCTATAGTTTTTGCTTCATCTTCATTTTATTCTTTATTCATTCCCCACATCAACGTTTTCTCTTCGTACATACGCTTATATATATAATGCATGAGAATGCAGCTCTTTTACAATCATATATATTGTAGTTTCACCTAGGCCATTATTAACGGTATTCTCCACTATTGCATTCTATTAATTTAACCATGTCCACCATCAAGCTTGGTCTCTACCTTGTTCTACTCGTCTTTTCCCACAACCTGCTCCCAAGTCGAGTCACTCGTGCCTACGGAGGTAATATATCGTAGCACCGACACTTCTGATGAAAGCTATGTCCAATGTCCGACATGACAGTGACACATGTGATTTTACGTTCTAAATGTGACTTTTTGTTTTCTATGAATTTTTTTTCTGCAGATAAGGAGAAAGATCTACTTCATGACATCAACGTTTACAGAAAACTTCAGAACCTTCCTGTTCTTGAGAGAACTAACAAGCCGTCTTGTTTAGCTGATAAAATTGCCAACGATTTAGAAGATAAAAACTGTGAAGACTTTCGTAACTATTACCCTACACCTGGTAAAAACGATAAAATTCCGAACTTCGAAAAGAGTGTTGAGAAATGCAAGATCGACATCAACACAACAAAAGAGGGTGTGGTTATGCCTGTTTATGTGCACAAACTGGACCAAGATGATGTGTTTTCTAATTATACTAAGAAAAGTCATTTTACAAAGTATTTAAATGATTCAAAGTATACAATTGCAGGAGTTGGTTCTGATGATGATTGGATGGTTCTTATCATTAGTACTAACTCAACTTCTGGAGATTTTTCTTCTGCTAGTTCTTTGATTGCTTGGAAGGGTCATTGGTTGCTGATGGCTACATTCTTGAGTGTGTTTGTTTTTCTGTTTTACTAAACTGAATGTTTTTTTTTCTGTTCTGTTTCTTGTTTGATTCATTTGGTGGGATTTTCTTTGTTTTGGGGACAGTTTTTACCTGTGTTATTTTTTTGTATATTGGATTTGGAGTGTTGTATTATTTTGTCAAGTTGTTGATTTAATAGCAATGTACTACTTGGAATGTAAGGGGTTGTGTATATTGAGATTGGGATTTGGTTGTCAATAATTGAAAAATAAATTGTGAGCACTTTGTTGATGATATATGCATAATGCGCAGATTTTTTTACGAAGTACTATAATTTACATCCATATTGAAAAAGAGAGTACTTACAATAAAGTGAAACTAGACAGTACCGTGTTTATATAAAGAGAAAAGATATGTTGACATCAGGATTTAACACCTACACCCTAATTGTCTGCATAATACATACTAATTGTGTTGTTTAATAATTTATTTTGTATTGGTTTGAGTGCAAGAAAAATTTTCTTTGATGATAAATACGGTGTATTGAAAAGGGGTGTCAAATTAGCAAAGTTCTTATATAAAATAGGACTGAAAATAATACTGTATAAAGTTGAACAAGTAGGATGTTATGTTTATTAATTTTATAAATTTGATCTCTCAAAATTTTGTTTAGCAAAAAAAAATAATTAAACGATTGTATCATGATCGGGAAGATTCTTTTAAATCGTATAAAGTCTTTTTAAACTTGAAAACATGATTCAAAAAAGTTAGATTGATAAATTTTGGAAGTTGATCGACAAACACTTTTTTTTAAATGTAACAGTTAAAGAATGTAATTTTTACATCAATTTGTAATAGTTTAAATTCATGATGTAAGAAAAAGATAGAAGTGGTCTTGTGGACTCTAATTAAGACAGAGGAGCATAAGTTTCATTAAAATTTATATCTTTATGATTGTATTCTTTCGCAACTAGTCTCGCTTTGTTTTTAAAAAAAAATTCCATCTTCATCAAGCTTTTTTTGAAATATTCATTGGATTTCAATCACTTGATTAGATGAAATTTTGGAAACGAGTTCTCAAATGTTGGATCTTTCAAATTGATTTAACTTTTCTTCCATTGCAAGAGATCAGTGTTTGTAAAAGAGGACCTCGTCAATTTCCTTTGCCTCAATTTGGGTAACAAAGACCATATGATTACATATATTTGTCTAACAAGTGACTTCAAGCACAATAGAGGATGAATTGTGATATTTAAAATTCGAAATTAATTATAGATTTTTCATGATTAAACTTAAAATTGTGTTAGTAGATTTTTGAGAGTAAATAGAAACGAAAAATAAAGCAATAAATAATGAAAATTAAAAGGATATGGTTAGAAAGATTGCACCAGAAATTTATACAGGTTTGGTCGAACGTTGACCTAATCTTGTCCCCAAGAGATCTTCTTGAGAGTTTGACTATAAAATTTAAACTTTTTAAAGGGTATGCCCATGAACCTTTATATAGTTTGATCTTAATATTTTTACAGACTTATCCCCAACCAAAGATAGTTTTTACCACGGGCTACGCTAGTGAACATTTTTAGAGATTTTTCAGGTTAATCTCAACAACAAAATTAAAAGTGAATTGTTTGTTAATGTCGGACTAATTATTTGATTTTTACACTATTTGTTGAATTGTCTCTGTTCGTTATGAATTTTTGGTTATGTGTGCTCGAAAGATGTCTATGCAGACAGATAATCAATTTTTCTCCTACCATAACTCACTTAATTTTTAACAAAATTAAAAGATATATAAAAGTAAATTGTTTAGAAAAATCTCAAGAATCCAACGGTATTATTCTCACAAGTTAAAATTCATTGTACAAGTCACACTAAGTCAAAAACCAATCCTAAAACTTAGGGTTTTTACCACTCAAAACTTCACATACTGGCAAGATAAAATGCAAGTAAGCACATGTACACATTCAATACATTAATGTCTACATCTTTGCTTTAGAAACCACACAGTAATAATGCATGTATCATGAGTTTCAAAGTTCAAATTTCTTACCTATTGGAGCAAGGTCAATGCCTCTTCTCAATGCTTACAGAAGTGTTATGATGATGTAGTTAGCCTCTTGAGACCTCAATAGACTTGTTTGAAGAATGGTTTGATTGGAAACAACCTCTAACACCTCACGCAAATGCTCTTGCAAAATGGTGAAAGTGATATGGAAGGTGATGGTATGAGTACTAGATAACTTGTTTAAGGGTTTAAACAAACTCTACTGAGTATTTAGAAGTTGTTTGAAGTATTTTCTTTGGTGGAGCACGAGCAAAATGAGAGTTGGGAGCTTTTGGCTTGAAGCTTGCAAAAATGATGTTTTTATGCAAAACTTGGTGTATACGTGGTTTGAGGTATTTTTTCTTGTGTGTTTCTTGTGTTTGAGGCTTAGATGATACCTCTATTTATAGGAGAATTAGAGGGGAAATGAGGTGATTAGATTATGGAGCTCTTGTATTTGGTTTGGTTGAGAATGAATGGCATAGTTTCATGAAGATTTGGAGTTACAAGGTGAAGTACCATGGCTAGTTTAGAGTGGTTAACGTTGAGGTCTTGCATTCTGCAGAAGAAAATGATTGGAGGCTCAAGGAGAGGTGATTTGAAGTTTAAGGGAACTTTACAAAAATGGTATGGGAGCCTTTTTGCAAAATGATCTATTAAAGGTAAAAACACTTGGATAATGCTTCAACTCCTTCTTCAAGATTTTGTGTAATCTTCTGAACAATGAAGCATTTGCAAGTTACATGAGCTATAATAAAGGGATTTGCAACATGAAATAGTTTTGCAACAAGTTCATGACATGAAAATGGCCTAAAGTGCGTGTGTGGAAGGCCAACTTTGCCTCTTCGAAACTCATAGCTCAAACATGGGAAAAATGAGTTCTTTGACTCTTTGGAAAGCTTGAAATATGCCCTAAAACTTTCATGTTTTGAGTTTTCCTTGAATCAAAATGGATCATTAATGGCTCCCAAGTTGGTTACTTTTACAGAGCAGATTTACATCAAAAAAATTCTAAGTGTTGAAAACCACATTTGAACAATACACCAACTTCATGCCTTCATAACTTGAAACCTAAGCACTTTTTGAGAATTCCTCCTCAATGACAAAGTTGTAATATGGAATGAGCTCTTCAAATTGGTCTTTTAAGCAAATAAAATGTATGCTTGGATTTTAAAGTTATGGCCTTGGCAAGTTGAACAAAAACCATCTTGCATTCATAACTTGGAAAAAATTCAATTTCTCTTTTGTTGCCCTTTTTGCAAGTTACTTCAAGTCTCTTTATTTTTCTTGATCAAACTCAATCATCAAACATGTTTCCAATGAAATTTGACTTAAGAATCTCATATTTGATTAAAAAAACCTAAAGTCAAAGGTTTGACTTTGCAGTTAATGGCTTATGTATTAGATGAACTTTCACTTCTTGATCTTCAATGATTTCCATCTATTAAGCTATTTGGACATCATGGGAGGACTTCCAAGGATGTATTTGAATTTTTTGAATCATATCCCAAGGCTTGAGATCATGTTTTGATCAAAAGTCAAAGATGCAATTGACTTTGGTTGAAAAACCCTAATTTGTGACCAGATGAATCTGAATCTTGAAGAACTTGTAGTGAAGCCATTTTGCACTTGATTATTGATGGAGGAAAATCTCTTGAGTTTATGAGAATTTGTTTGACAGATGATCCATCCAAAACTTTGACTGATCAATCCTTTGAGCCTCTCAGGGCAAACCCTAATCCACAGAAAACAAAACAACACAATGTCTTGATAATTGGTTAGCCATACATGAAATGATTGACCTAGAATGTTATGCAAATGATAATGAAGTAAAGGGGTAAAATTTGGGGTGTTGACACCCTTCTAAAGTAGTTTTTTTCCTAGTAAAGAGACAACTGATAATGCTATTATCCTCCAATAAGCAATTCATTTTACGCATAAATCTAAAAAGAAAAAGCTGGCATGGTGTTCAAAATAGATCTTGAAAATGCGTATGATCATATTAATTGGGATTTCTTGGAATTTTTTTAAGCGAAACAAGTTTCCTCCCATTACAAAAAGTTGATCATGCATTGTGTAACTAGCTCCTCTATGTATATTCATTAGAATGGGAGACAACTATCAAATTTTGTTATGACTAGATGATTATGACAAAGTGAGCCTCTTTCACCTTATCTCTTAGTTATCTACATGAAATTCTTGTCGCAAACAATCATCAGAGCAGTCGATGAAGGCCAATGGAAACTTGTTAGATTATCTCGTAATGGACCCCCTATATCGCATATATTTTTGGCTGATGATTTTCTTCTTTTTTTGAAGGTGTCTAACATTCATGTATGGATCATTTTTTATATCTTGAATCATTTTGCCATATTTTCTGGCCTTAGTGAATGTTGTTAAATCAAAGGTGTTCTTCCCCACTACCATTAAGAGGAGTAAAATGATTTTAATTGCTCCAACACAAGTATCAAGCGAACTCTTACTCTAGAGAAATACTTGAGTTTCCCTATGTTGCATTGTCGTCTTCAACACAAGGACTTTGAATTCCTACAAGAGAAAATCAGTTAGAGGTTTAGCATCTTGGCAACATATATTGTTAAATAAGACTAGTCTTTTGACTATAATTAGGTATATCTTAAACTCTATCTCAAATTATTATATCCAAGTGGTTTAATTACCTCAACCAACTTGTGATTTTATTAATTGAATAACTAAGAATTTTTGGTGCAAAGATAATTCAAACTATAATATGCATGCAAAATTGGAATAAAGTTACTATGCCAAAAAATATTGGATGGTCTTAGAATCCAAAAAAGAAAAAGAGAAACCAATGCCTATATTTTGAGTAAATTAATTTGGGGATCTCCACCGGAGTTGTGAGAAAACGTACTATAATATAAAAAAAATTAAAATTAAAACTTAAAATGTAATTATGAAAGTTCTTTTTACATGACTTTGAATTTATATTGGGAAATGAGAACTTTTATTTTTCAGAAAATTAATTGT